ACGAATAGATTGTCTTGTTTAACCTATTTTGGCCGCTGCCTAGTCTTGTCGGAGTATAGATTATCCGACGATAAAGAGAGATAACGAGGAAAAAGAAGATGGTTGTGATTAGGGTGGGTCTAAAGACTGTAAAACTGAATTCACCATTTGCATGATTTGGAGCTTTTTAGGAAAGGCGTGGCTATATATTAAAGTTGCTATCTTCAAGAAAGGTACATCACAAATGCTATTTTAATGTAATGTCAATTCCCCGTAGGAGCATGTAGGCATGTTTATATTATGTATTATAATAAAGACTAAGTGAATCATGTCTAGTAATAATATTAAATAGATGATATAATCATTTGACGTTTAGATCAAATTCAAGGCAACATGTTAATACGTTAATACTAATGGCTTTAAATAAATTTAAGTTCCAAATAATTATGAGTTTTACATTAAGGATTGAGATGGTTTAAACTTTAAAGGCTCAAGCTATTAAGTTGGATTAATTAAAGAAAATTGAATGTTTTTGATTAAATAAGTATAATATTACGCAACATATTTTATCTTACTAATCATTAGGACATGTGTTTATATATCCCCAAAAAGCCAAGGAGTTGTTTCTTAATAATAGGTATTAAGAAGTGGGGCATAAGAGGGGCAAATAAGTCTACAATCAACTGCTATAACAATAATAAAGTGCATAAAAGGATATTATGATGTATTAAGAAGTAATACTTAAAATATAAGCCGTATAAGGATTGTTAATATGGTCGTAGGTGTTCAGAGAGCTGGAAATCCACCTTAGCCATTTTAGTGGGTTTATTATGTGTTAGTTGTTTCAGGTGAGTCTTCTCACTATACCTGTGAGTCGAAATCACCAATGCCGGTCCATTGGAATGTGTTATGTAGAATGCTAGTTATCTTTGTGACTCTTGCATGAATGTTTGTGTTGAAATACACCCGAGGGTTGGGACCATTGATATGTATTGGGTTGAAATATAGCCCATGACCGGGCCTATTGATATGTGTTGGGTTGGAATATACCCTAGGGTTGGGCCCATGATTGTATGTTGGGTTGGAATATATGCTAGGGTTGCGCCTACTGATTTGTATGGTATGTGGTATTTTAGGGAACTCATTAAGCTTTATCCTTACGGTTTTTATGGTTTAAACATTCCAGGTACTTCTGGTTCCAAAGGGAAGAGCTCGACTTGATCGCATTGCATCCCTTGGAGTTTATTTCTGCATTATATATTTTGATTTACTCTGATGTTGAGAGATATATTTTACTCTGTTTGGACTTTAAACAAATTATATGATTTGGGAGTTTTAAAAATATTTTTTTACTTAGTATTTTTGGGATGTTACACAAATGGTCCATATGCTCATGCCTAATTAGCACATTGATTCAAATTTCCATGCTCATTATAACTTAGATAACGAATGAATTACCGAAAACTAAATGCATAGAAGTTGTAGATAGTTGTGTCTTCTTTTTAGATCATTTTAAATTACCTTAATAAGAGTTGTGGGGAGTCGGATATGATTAAAATACTCCATAATAGTCAATTTCTCCAGCATCATCAATTTTGTGGGGAGTCGGATATGATTAAAATACTCCAACATAGTCAATCTGTCCAACATCATCAATTTTTCTTTATTTGTATGCGTTGCTTTTGTCTAACTTGTAGTGGTTTATTATTGATCAAGGACTTAAAAGTACATTGATCTTAGCATGCGGTGTGTGGTTTAAATCATAGTTGTGCAGTTGAAAACCGCAAACTGCACCACATAATGCAGTTTAAGAAACTTACAAAATACAAACCTTGATGATAAGGAGAACAATCCATGTACGTTGTAGGCCTTGCGAGACGGTCTAGACGGACTGAAGGCTCACATGTGCATGAATTGTATGTATATCGTGGTGTGTGATATATTGGGGGAACTCATTAAGCTTTGACTTATAGTTGTTGATTAATTTTTTTTTCAGGTACCCTTGATGATTGTGGGAAGGTGAATGCGTAATTATACACATTCATCAACAACATTGGAGTTCCACATTTTACTTATATTGTTCCGGTTTTCATATAAGTATTTCGAACAAATGAGTTTTCTTAACCTGGGTTTTATGAACATAGTGTTTTACCTTAATTAAAAATTAAAAAAAAAAATTGTTTGTGAAAATGGGACGTTACACCTAAACTCTCCTGAGACTTTTCCCACACCTGAGGCCTACCTTTATGAGTTTTCAAGTGTTAGTAGCGAAGTTATGGAACAACATAAAGCCCGATAAAAAGAGCTTTTGGTATCGAAGTTCTGCCCCCACAGCTTCCGATTTTTCGCTATAAAACCTGTAAGTTGAGTTATACTTACTATGATTTAAGTATAACTTATATTTTATGTTCGTAGTCGTTATTATGAATTTATAATTAAGATTTATCAGTAATACCAGTCGTAATACTGATCGATCTACTTACGGGAGTGATGTCTAGGATAGATCTGTGAGGTGTTTAAAGTAGATTTTCTGAACGGTACATTTTTTTTAACAAACGGATCCTACCTCCATAATGATCTTACATGATCATTCCTTATCCGATAGAACTCAATACTCATTTGGGATTATTGATGAATTCAAAATACTGTTATTATAGTCACAAATAATACAAACGATAACTAGAAATTTTGTAATATTCATATACAAGTCATTTAACAGGAAAAACTAAAGAGATAGAAAAAACACTAACTTAACCATAAGTCTTTCACCTACAACCAGGCGAGTGCATAACTACTTTTATCTTATACATAGATACAAAATATTTAAATGCTTAATTGTTATGTGTGTTCATTATGATAACTATGTTAGATAAAATAACCCGACTGGATTTATGTGTACTGGAATCATATATTGATAATGTATTGATATATTTTAAACATCATACTTAAATCATATTGGATAAAGAAGGGTTGTGAAAGCTAAAATAATGGTGTGAGGCCGTGACCATTATAATACTATTGTACTGCTGTGACTAGTCATTTAGCCAAGTATATATGACGACCACTGGCTATTATAGACATTCTTGTGGAACACTAGTGACTCATTACCTATAGGTGTTAATGAACCGTGTGTTCATTCGATGTACTCTATCCCCCATGGTGGCCTTTATTGACTTATATTGCTAATGAATCTCCGAAGCAGTGGTTGCTTACAATGATCCTTTATGATAGGTCCATTGATATTATCATTTTAGGATCAGAGTGCGAGAATAAGTAATCGGGTTAATTATTTGGTGTAAGACATATATTTAAAATATTTAATTATAGTATTATGGGTTGAAAACCCTATGTACTCACCAGGCTCCCAAGTCTGAACCACTCAGTTTGTTTGTATCACATGTAACGGTAAGAAGGCTTTGGAATGAGTGACTGTAATCCGCTGAGTAATTTAGGAGATTATGGCCGTTAGTATAACAAACAATTGTAAAAGTCTGTAAAAACTAGTTTATGCTTATGTTTTTGTATCGATTATGACATCCAAAAGTTTTAATATTAATGAAAACCAAACGTTTTTATTTGGTATTGATTTTTTTTTGAAATAAAAATGTTTTGGGACAATTCCGCAATAAAATATTCTTTTAAAGAATACTTTGTTTTAAATAAGCATGGAAAAAGTTTTATTTGATCATGAAAATTGAGGATGTCACATTATATATCATTTTTGTTTTTATTTATTTATTTATTTATTCGATAAATATCATAACTAAAATCATAACTATGTATCATTTTTTTGCATGTGTTTTATAATATTATAACTTTTATAACGTTTTTTTGCAACTATAAATAATTATGTTATTGAACAACTTGAACTTAATTTGGTCGTAACCCGATAGATAACCATTTTGTTGCATTTAAGTTATGTGTCGTAGAACAACTTGAACATAATTTGGTCATTTCTAAAAAAATAGAAACTCTCTCTATGTCATTCTTTACACATAAGTCACTTATTTTTTTTTTACACTCAAGACCAGAATATTCAACATTGATGATAAAATGTGGCCTAGAAACACGCTCCATACGGCAAATCAACAAAATCCATTAAATTATATATGATACCATTAAGAGAATTTTGTTGATTTGTTGTACAAAGAGTGTTTCTAGGCTACATGCTACATTTATTATTGAATTTTGAGGTTTAGATGTAAAAAAATAACTTAGGTTTAAAGAATGACAATAAAGAGAGTTTTTATTTTTTTAGAAGTGACCAAATTAAGTTCAAGTTATTCTACAATGGTTATATAAATACATGTTAAATACAATTAATAGATTTTTTTATTGATTTGTCGTAAGGAGCGTGTTATAGGCCACATAGTATGTACAATGGAGCTCTATTTATGAATAACATCATCCGATAAACCTTCATTTTCTGAGGCGTCGTTCGATTGTGAGACTCTTCGATAAACTGTATTTTTTATGGTATTTTTTTTACACAAAAGACCTGCAAATTCAACAATGAAGGAACATGTGACCTAGAAATGTGTTTCCTGCGATAAATCTATAAAGTCCTTTTAAGTTTTACAAGATATAGATAATATCCTTATGATTTTAGTTTTTATATTTATCGAAGAAAGTAAAAAAAAAAAAAAAAACTAAAAATTGATAATGTAATTTGAACCGATATAAATAATTGAATAACTATAAGATAATGTTTATATGGTAAAATAAAATGTTTTTTTAATAACCCCATATTTATTTAGCTAATCTAATAATTTTGAAGTCAATTCAGAAATTGAGAAGGGTTTCAATTTTAGTCCGTTCATGGTCCGTATTTACCTCGACCCTAGTTGCGTCCTGTGTTTATGAAACCCGCGAAGTGGAGTTCAACAGGCGGGAAACCCTCTTTTGAATCTGCAGCAATCCCCCACTGTTTTCAAAACCCTAATTCCACTTCCACCCACTGTTTCTCTTCCTCCTGTATAAAATAGCTGTTTTTTCGTGAGTCTCAGTAATTAATTTTTTTTATGGCGACAACGATTACAGAGAACAGCAATCTTGTTGATGCCAAAGAGGATAGTGAAATCGACGACAGGGCGATGGATGTCGAGGCTGCTGTTGATGACCAGGAACGATGTCGCGTTGGTGGTGTTGTTGACGGTGAACCTTCGTCTTTGCCTTCTTCTCATACACTGTCTCTCAACCACGAAAAAGTAGTAGAAACCAATATTATGTCTTTATGTCCGGCGACAACGATTACAAAGAACGGGAATCTTGTTGTGGCCCAAGATGGTGGAAACGTCAATGACTTGTTGATGGATGTTGAGGATGCTGTTGATGATCAAGAACGATGTCGTGCTGGTGTTGATGTTAGCGGTGTACCTTCGTCTTTGCCTTCTTCTCACACTCTGCCTCTCAATCACGGAAAAGTAGAACTTAATACTATTTCTTCATGTTCTGATGTTGCACGTAGCACGAAGGGACTCTTGGCTGAAGGGATAGAAAACCAAGAAACAAAAACGGAACGATCTGATTCCATTAATGGTGATGGGGGTGAAGAACAAAACGGTATTTATGAACCTGAGCCGAAAGTGGGTCTTCGGAAGAAGAGAGGTTGGCCAAGAGGTAGGAAAAGAGGTCCGAAAAGGGACAACGAGAACAGTAATACTGCTACTAAATCTCAAGAGAAGAACATTAAATCACGTGGTCGTCCCAAGCAGGCTGTTACCACGGAAGACGTAAGGAAGATGGCGAGTGGTGTTGTGAAGTCAAGTGATGATGATAACAAGTCCCCAGAAGAAACAGAAGAAGTTATGGTTGATGCTCAAACTGTTCTTCCTACTCCTGATGGAGAGGGGAACGCTACCAATGAAGTAATAAACAACAAAGAGGACAAAATAGATAGTGGGAGGCCCAAAAGAAGTAGCACGAAAAACAAAATTAATTATGCAATTTTCGAATATGATTTTGATGATGAAGAGGATGTAAGGAAGAAGATACACCGGCGATCTTTTCCAAAGAAAAAAAAGAGTGGTGAAGAGGAACAGGATAAAGATGATGGTGATGGAGGTATAGAACAAAATTGGGGTTCTGATTCTGAAGCAGAGGGGAAGAAGGGTGTTCAGAAGAAAGGCAGGAAAAGAGGTCGGAAAGCGAAGAACGAGAACACTGGTATTGCTACTAAATCTCCAGAGAAGAAGATTAACGAACGTAAGAAACTTTGTGTTTCTGCAAAAGAAGCAGGGGAGATGACTAGTGGTGTTGTGAAGTCAAGTGATGATGAGAACAAGTCCCCAGGAGAAACAGAAGAAGGTATGGTTGATGCTGAAACTGCAATTGCTACTTCTGATAGAGAGGGAAACGTTACCAATGAAGTAATAAACAGTGAAGATGTCAAAAAAGAGAGTGGAAGGCCCCAAAGAAGTACTAGGAAGGTTGATATTAATGACAGAAGCCAGAAAGCTCAGGGCTCAAGTAAGGAGGGTTCAAGGCCAAAGTGTGCTGCAAGGCACATGGTTCCAGATGAAAATGTAACATTTGTGTCCTTAGTTCTATCTTTCTCTATTTAAAGAAGTCTTTTTGATTGGTTTTGGAAAGATTTGATCGAACATTATCTCTTTATTTTCCATCCATTGACAGGGAAATCTAGTTCATGTACCATCAGTAATGTGCCATCAGTGTCAAAGGAATGACAAGGGACGAGTTGTTCGGTGTCAAAAATGCACCACAAAACGTTACTGTGTGCCTTGCATGACAAGATGGTATGATTGGTCAATAATTTTCTTCCTTTTTAGTTTGAGCAACTGTATTAAATGACTTGTTACATTATTTTAGTTATTTAGACCTGTCATTACTTCTTTTAAATTTCATGGGCAATGATGCATTTGCATCAGGGTTGCTAAATACTTGTTGATGCAAGGAGTAGTCATCATTGATCTCTGTGCCTAGTTGTATGTGTAACATGCTTCCAAAGCATACTAACTTGATGCCTAGTTGTAGACATTTTCATTTTAAGATGATGGTAAAAGAATAGTGGCCTATACATATTGGTTATCCATATGTATTCCCTGTCATTGCCTCTTAATTGTTGCATATGGGCTTGGAACCATCTATATTGCCTTAAAACTATGCTGTCCTCTGGAAGAATAGTGGCCTATACATATTGGTTAATAATGTATTTGGAATTTGGTATTCTTTTACAGCTTGTTTGTCTTATTCTCTTTGTTTACCCTGTTTTGTAGGTATCCTAATATGACAGAGGAGATGTTTGCTGAGTGTTGCCCTGTTTGCTTAGACAAGTGCAACTGTAAAGGTTGTTTGCGTGATGTGCATCCTAAAGTTGGTTCCTGCATCCTTTTCTTTTGTTATATAACTTGTTTTTGTTCTTACTCTTATGCAAAAAAGAAATGCAATGCTGAATATGTTGGTGGTTTCTTAGGTGAAAGAGAAGATTGATTTCAAACCTGATGATGATCACAAAATGCGGTATTCTGTTTATATCCTACATGTGCTTCTTCCATTCTTGAAGCGTCTCAATGAGGAGCATGTAAAGGAGAAAGCAATTGAGTCTGAAATTCGAGGTATTTTTTATTATTCATCATGGGAGTTACTCTGTAGCTAATCTAAATAACTACTGCCACATATATGATTCTTGACTTATGATTATGATTGTTTCATTCTTATGAAAAATAGGTTTGAATTAATTGAGTTCTTTGTTGAGACTTTAGGAAACAAAAGAACATCGTTTCTTCAGCTTAACTTCTCAACCTGAACTCTCATTGCTCATTTGCTCTTCATCTATAATATAATTTCTTTATTTGATCTCATAATGGATGACATGAACTTCAATCTTCGACCTTGTACTCAGTTTGTGAAGTTGGTGTCTTGTTGCTAAATGTTCAATGTCCATGTTGCATAGATGCTTCTCAACAAAGATTCATGTAACAATGTCTTTTAATTATTCTGGTTAGCTTGTTGTTTAAGTGTTTCTTGAAGGATTATGTATCTACAGCTAGTCCTGGTTTCCCTTTGAAATCGAGTAAAATACTGTGGAAACGATTTCATGTTAGTTCTTTTTACTCAGTTATATTTTCTTGGTTGTAATGTTGATAGTGTGAGTTTGTCCACTCAAAGGGCGGTCTCGGTAGACAAACATCAATCAGCCATATTTTATGTAGGTTTTCCTAAATTTATCTTGTTGGGCAGGATGTTCATTATCTGAACTACATTTGAAGAAGGCAAAGTGCAGTAAAAATGAGCGCATGTACTGGTATGTCATTTTAATGATTGTAACAATCTCCTATCTTGATTATTACAATTTCTGATTTTGATTGTCCCATGATGTATGCAGTGACTGCTGTAAAACATCAATTTTTGACTTGCATAGAAGCTGCCCTTCTTGTCAATATGACCTTTGCCTTCAATGTTGCTGGGAATTGCGAGAGGATGGTGACTCTAAGGGAAACAAGGAGGAAGTTACCATTGAATTTATAGATCCAGGTTTTGAGTACTTACATGGGGGGAAGGAGAAGAAGCATGACGAGCCTAAGGGAAACATGGAAACAATGAACGTGGTTAGTTTTCTTGAGAAAGCTGCACCAAAGAAAAAGCAAAGTCATGGCTGGAAGTCTCTGGATGATGGCAGAATTCCTTGTCCTCCAAAAAGTATGGGTGGTTGTGGTTGTGGTATTCTAGAATTGATGCGCATAAAGCAACCTGACACTGTTCCAGAGTTGTTGGAGAAAGCACAAGAGCTCTTAAAGACGCACAAACTGGAGGAAGATATGAGGGATATGCCTGAGAAATGGTGCACATGTTCTTCAGATGATGGTGATCAGCAGTTACGAAAAGCTGCTTCTCGTGACAATTCCAATGACAATTACTTGTATTGCCCACATGCTATTGACATAAAACCTGGAGATTTGAAGCATTTCCAGTGGCATTGGTCAAAAGGGGAGCCTGTAATTGTTAGCAATGTTCTTGAAACTACACTCGGGTTGAGCTGGGAACCCATGGTCATGTGGCGTGCTTTTCGCCAGACGAAAAATCTCAACCATGATCAGCTCTTGGATGTGGCTGCTCTTAATTGCTTGGACTGGTGTGAGGTTCGTTAAGTATTTCTTTCTTTGGCTAAATGCAACAAGTGGCAACATACTTCTGTTAATATTTTGTATTATAGCATTCTACCTTCAAGTTTTTTCTATCACAACCTTGTACTTTTTTTTTCCGTGTATACAATATGCCTAATCAAGTTTTCTCATGACATGCAGGTTGATGTAAATGTTCGTAGCTTTTTTAATTGTTATTTGGAAGGTCTTCATGATGAAAAAGGGTGGCCTAAGATGCTAAAGTTGAAAGACTGGCCTCCATCAAGTTTATTTGAAGAAAGGTTGCCACGTCATGGTGTTGAGTTTATCACTTGTTTACCCTTTAAAGAGTACACACATCCACGTGATGGATACCTTAATCTTGCAGTGAAGTTGCCTGAAAAATCTTGTAAGCCAGACATGGGTCCTAAAACATATATAGCTTATGGCATTCATCAAGAATTGGGACGTGGGGACTCTGTAACTAAACTTCATTGTGACATGTCTGATGCGGTATGCTTTTTTCTATTTGGTCATGCCAGATTCTTCTGCCTGAAATTTCCCGTTCTGCCCCTATGGTTCCAGATTCTTTGTAGAAACAGATGAGAGTTTCAATTCCAATGTGGATTGGGCTCTTATGAAGATTTAACTTGTCATGTCAGATTTTCTTGTGAAGAACAATTTCAAAGAGATTTATTCTCTATTTAGCACACCCAACCTGCTTTGGATTTTCTCTGTTTTCATTTAAGTAATATATATTTTGGTGACATGCAGGTGAATGTGTTGACACATACTGCAACTGTGACCCCCAAACCTGAACACCGGGGAAAGATAAAAAAATTGAAACAGCGTCACAAAGCTCAGGATAAGAGGGAACTTTATGGACGGGTAGGAAAGACACAAGCTGATGATGATAACATGAAAGATGCTACTGCTGAGCAAGTTGTTGGCTTGAAAAACCAAAATGGGCACTTAGGTAACAAACTTGATGAATCCAAAGTTGAAAGAAACTGGAGTGATATCAATGTGGAAGAAACAAGTGACCGCGTTAACAGTAGTGGCAAGCGAAAAAGTGGGCATGAATCAGATTCTTGTCTTGTGACAACTACTAGTGATCATTCAGATGAATATGCATTGAAGGAGGAAAGTTGTGAAGGATCTGAGTCTAAAATTGATGAAAAAGATGAGAGGAATAGAAAGGATTCCATGGAAAAAGTTGAGGGTCAAAATGGAAATAGAAGAAGTAGAAGGACTGTCGAAAAACAAGTCAAAGCTTCTAATAGTGAAGAAGATAACAATAAGAGTAAGAGAAAGAATTCAAAGAAAAGAGTTGCGGTACAAAATGAAAATGAAGGATCTAAAAGGAAGAGCAAGAAAAAAGTTGTCTCTTCTGATAGTGAAGAAGATAACAATAATGAGGAAACAGAAGCTGTTGAAGAAGGTGATAACCAGGATGATAGTTGTGTGGATGGAATTGATCTGGGAGAAGGAGGTGCGTTGTGGGACATATTTCGGAGGGAAGATTCGCCTAAACTGGAGGAATATCTAAAAAAACATTTCAAAGAGTTTAGACATATCTTTTGTCGACCACTGGAGCAGGTAGTCCTTAATTCTTTTATGTATAGCCTTGCATTCCTAATTTCTAAATGGTAATTTCTTTAACTGTTCCATTGTATTTTCTTGGTCCAGGTTATCCACCCAATTCATGACCAAACATTTTACTTGACCATAGAGCATAAAAGGAAGCTTAAAGAAGAGTTTGGTTAGTGTACATTTGCAAGGCTCTATATATCAACTTTCACTGATATTAATTAAATTTTATGATTGTGCTCATTCTTTTGGTTGTCATCAGGAATTGAAGCATGGACTTTTGTCCAGAAGCTTGGGGATGCTGTATTTATACCTGCTGGTTGTGCCCATCAAGTTAGAAATTTGAAGGTTAGTAACTTACTACTACTTTTTAGATTCTTTTTTACTGCATTACAGTTGCAAATAATAGGGATCAAAGTGGATCACTTACAGTTCACTAAGTTGTCAACTTGCTTATTATTGTGAGATGCATTTCTTGGAAAAATTGGTCACACCTTGGTTATTGACACTGAATGTTTTTTTGGATCTTTGTTTTCACTTTGAGTTAGAATCTAAGGAATTGACATGTCATCATCTTAGTGATCTGGAGAATGATGACACTACAATGCACAACTCACATAAGAACATTATGTTATGCTTCTACTGAATGCTGGTTAGCTGATGCCTCTTTAATGAATTAGGGTTGATAAAGCTTCACTTGTCCTGCTTCAGCATGTTTTAGAATTGTCTCTCATTCTTAAAATATTGTCTGGATTGTTATTGTTCTATTGTACTAGTCAGTGAATTTATCAGTTTAGTAAGTGTGTAAATATGTTTTCTTTTTGTGCAGTCATGTATAAAAGTTGCACTGGACTTTGTTTCTCCTGAAAATGTTGGTGAATGCATTCAATTGACAGAGGATTTCCGTGTTCTTCCCCAAAATCATAGGGCTAAAGAAGATAAGTTGGAGGTAAACTATCTCTTTGTTATATTCTGCAATATTAAATCTTTCATCAAGCATGCGTTCTATAGGTAGCAATTTTATCTCGTTTCACAATAAATTTGGGTTTATATGCTACAAATATTGGATCAAAATGACAAATTTTGAAAATTAGCAAAAAGAGTAATTGGTTTGAATGGCTTCAAAGTACTTCAATACACACGCTTGTTCAAACTCCTAAATATTTTTAATAAATGATATTAGATTATTACTTTGAGTTAAGTGCAATAAATAGCACTGTACTTCCTTTGATTTGTTTATTTAGGCATCCTACTTTCATGTTTTTCTAAAACAACATTGTACTTTGTAAAAATGAGAGTTGCTGTTTCTTGCATATAACCCTAGTTTATTAACAATGTGATAGTCTTAGATGTTCATAATATTATTAGTTCTATTAATGTTTCAGTTGATTTGTTATAAATTATTAAAATTGTGCGATTGGTTGATGCTGCTGCTAAATAATTAATTACAGGTGAAGAAAATGGCACTTCATGCAGTGGAGGCAGCTGTAAAGGAGTTAAAAGATCTTGCTACCAAGTAAGTTCAAACCATTTCTAAAGCCATCTTCAATCCTAACTTCAAATAATACACAAAAGTTATGTAATATTAGCATCAATGTTTTCTCACCCCAATCACATGAAAAGTCATATCCTGAAAAATTTAGTAATACTGTAACCTTTTTTTAAATTTTTTTATTTACTTAATTTCATTTGCTTTACAGATATTTACTGTAATTATGGACCAAAGTTTAAACAAGTTTGCAAAATTTGTCCCTTTGATGTATGAGTTTGACTTAACAGTTGGTTTTGTGGGAATCCTATTTCAGAGAGGAACCTGAACCTGAACCTGAACCTGAACCTAAACCTAAACCTAAATCTGAACCTGAATCTGAGGAATAGGCGGATGCAACACACAAGGGAGATAATTGTTCAGGTTCCACTTTCTGTAGTATATTAATTTACTTTAACTTTAATTTAATAGATTTTGTCAAGTCTTAAACTGAGGCCAAGCATGCTTCCAAGAAACTCTTTCAAACTGTAACTGTCACTTATTATCGATGATGTAACAGTTTGTTTTTTGGCTCGTCGTTGAGCATGAGTTGTGGCAAATGCAGGTTTTGTGTTTTTGAGTTGTGTTGGGTCTTTGGCTTTATGTTGCTTTGTACATGTCGATCGTGTGTTTAAAGAGGGATTGTTGCTTAAAAACTGGTTTATGTGTGTGTTTTCAACTTAGTGCGAAAAAAAAAAAACGGTTTAAGAGGAAAAGCAAAGAGAAATTAAATACTAGGAGTCCAGGCATGATAAGTTTTTTTGCTATGAATGATACTAATGAAAGTACTTATATTTCATCTAGGAAGAATTTGACTTGCACTCATTGCAAGAAACTTGGTTACACAAAGTCTTAATGTTATAGACATCATAGACTTCACATTAGGGATGAGCAAAATAACTGTTGGAATTGAACCGGAACCGCATGCGAACTGATTATGCAATTTGGTTTGGTTTGTGGGTATGGAGTTCCTGGGTATCGATATTTTCGGTGCTTGGGTGAAGGGTTGATTAAGCCCGTAAGTGGAACAAAAAGTGCCCGGATTCCCACTCCAAGGTTGTTTATTGCAAAATTAACATCACCTATTCAAGGGAAGTTCAAGTTTTAACTTTTAATGGAGGTCGCCTGCATTGAAGACACTCAAGTAAGCTTTCAAGTTTTTCATCAAATTTAAGTTTTATCAACTTTGTTTAACTATGTTTATGTCTAATGTTTATTCATTTTTGGAATAGAATGTAGCATTCAAGTTGAGTTTGTTCAAGTTTTATGATGTCTATTCATTCATGGATATTAGGGGTGAGCACAGATACCGGGTACCTACTTTTGGAACTGGAACCAAGGTCACTAGCCGGTTCCTAAAAGTGGGAACCGCCAAGGATTGGTTTTGGTTTTGGTTTCCATTTTTTAGGAACCGTTACCTTCTGGAACCGGTTCCAAAGTATTAAAATTTAAAAATCTTAATACTTAAACAAATTGGTCGTAACAACATTGATGACTAATATATTTTTTAGGAGAATCTAATTGGATATTGGAGGTAACATGCTAATAAGTCATTTGCAACTTTTTTTTTCCAAAACAAATGGTCTAATGTGAATGTGTATGTCCGAAAATAAAACAATTTGAACATAAGTGATGATAATATCTTTTGCAAAGATATCATGTTAAATAACATTAATAGGTTGATGGTAAGAACATGATTTTTGGTTTATGACTTATATTTAGCAACTTGGATTATCTTTTAAAACGATTGTTTTTTTGTCGTTTGTAACTTGTATTGTAATGAACTAGTTATAGTATTTACTTTTTCTTTCAATGAAGAATCATTTTGTATTAACGAATCTAAAAAAATGACGTAACCATGTTACTCGGTCGTGGTGCCTGGAGCTGGAACCACTAGTAACCATTAGTTTGGTTCTGGTTCTGATTCTAACTTCATAGGAACCCCTTGTTCCGTTTCCGGCAAAATGAGGCGAGTACCCGCCTATGTTCATCCCTAATGGAGATTGTATATCATTCATGTTAATGATTGGAATTTTAATGTGTTTTAGGATGATGATGATGTATTTTTGTTGAAAACACACAAAAAGAAGACAATGTGCAACAAACTACAAGCTAAGGAAGGGAAATAGTGGTTGGATTGTTGGAAATCCTTTGATGCGTTCTTCATTAAAGACGATGACGGAGGTGATAAGTATGGAAAATGCAAGATTTCCTCCGTGACTATAAAGTCAATATGTGGACAAACGGTACAATCTAGTTTAAGAAAACTTTTTAATAGCTGCATAAAAGGAAATCCATATAGTATGAAAATGAAGTCATAGCACACTTAAAAGGAAGGTTGTTTTGTCATTGCGACATAATATTTCAGAAGATTTTGCAAATTACTATGTTGATGAAAGAAATAAGTTGGTTAATTTCTTTAAGTAGTCCACTTAATATGGTACATGTGACCATAGACACTTTAGACTAGCTCGTGTCAAAGGGTTCATTGTATGGTAATCATGAACACTTCATCGATGAAGTTTTGGCAAGCATTTCCATATAAGGCGTATGACTCATATTCTTGTTCATGACTCATCAATGAAGAATCGAAAACCAAAAATGGGGAAAGTTTTGGTTTTTTGCTTTTGAGGTGACATTTTCTCATTATCTAGTGATTTATCTACCATTACAATGAAATAAAATGAGTTTAATTTTTTGTAGAAAAAAAATTATACAACCTTAATAGCCCCTGTTTAGAGCTGCATAACGCAATTATTTCTTTACCAATTTCATTGTTTTTTGAGCCAAAACTATAACCAAAATAGAGGGCACCAACCTGAGAAAAAACCAACTCATTTTGAGTTTGTATGAAGGAGCTATGGTCGTTCAAAGTTTGATAAAAATTATAAACAATGTTGAGATAAAACTGGCAGCCCTAATAGTCCTTGTTTAGAGCTATGGAACTTAGCCATTTCTTAACGGATTCAATTGTTTTTTTAGCCAAAATAGGGAGTTACAACATAGGAAAAAAAACCAGTTCATTCTAAGTTCGTATGTAGAAGTTATGGTCGTTTAAAGTTGGATAAAACTTATAAAGAATGTTGAGAAAAAATTGGCAGCCGTAACAGCCCCTTTTTAGAGCTATGTAACTTAGCCATTTCTTAATCGATTCAACTGTTTTTTTAAAAACCCAGCTCATTCTGAGTTTGTATGAAGGAGTTATGGTCGTTCAAAGCTGATATAAATTATAAAGAATGTTGAGAAAAAACTGGCAGCCCTGATATCTCCTGATTAGAGCTATGTAACTTAGCCATTTCTTAACCGATTCAATTATTTTCTTAACCAAAATTGTAGCCAAAACAGAGGGCTACAACCTGGGAAAAATCAGCTAATTTAGAGCTCGTATGAAAAAGTTACGTCCGTTCAAAGTTGTACAAAAAATTTTAAACGAAAAAACCCTCAAACCTCGAACCTGAAAACCATGACTTATTGGAACCAAAGGACTAATTTGGTGTGAAATGTTTACAAAAGGTGGTAAAATATATGAGACTATCCATAGGTTACAAGGTTTAAAAAGTACAGGATAGAACTTGGTATGAAATCGAAGAAATTTTTGTGCAATGATTGTCCCACGTACTGGATTTCGACTTATTAATTATTGAAAACTTTCGTGGATTTGGAAGGTGTACTTCTCAACTACTCATATAAAGGTATTTGTTATTTTTTTTGTTTATATGATTTTTTTGGTATTTTTTAGAATTTTTTACCCATATTTCTAGTAATTTTTTTGTATGATGTTGGAATGAGCTGATTTTTTTTCCAAACATGTAGTTGTTTTTGCTACATTTTAGGCTCACGAACCATTTTAATTGATTAAATATTGGTTGAGTTACACAATTTAAACATGGTATGTTAGGATTGTTAGGTTAAATATTGGTTCCGAATAGCTCCATAATGCATTTTTTTTTCAGCTTAATCCATTAAGTCCAAGTCTCTAACCTTTAAATCTGAATCAATATGATGATTAGATGGATAAAGTTTCCAACTTTATCCATAACAAAGTCACAAACCTTCAAGATCTAAACTGTATGCATTTAAAGTGACCAAAAACTCATAATACCCAAAACTAGCTAGATCTAATAAATTCATCATCAAGATTCAAACTTTATACCTCCAAAAAAAAGATCAAGGTGAACAAAGTCTGGATCTACAAGCTCCAATACGATCAACGCTTCTTCAATGAGTTCCTTCTTCTCCAAGGTGCACCAAGAACACTCCAAAGCACTTAAAAACACATTCTTTTTGCTCACAATGCTTAAACTAGGGTTAGAGTTTCAAGGGAAGGTGTTGAGGAGGTTGAGGCTGAGAATGGAATGAGTTTGGGGAAGTTAAGGAGCTTAAATAGAGCTCAAACCATGAAAATTGGGTTTGGGTACTGATCGTGTATGCCCAACGTACTCCCCGTACGCCGAACGTACATGGCTAACCCAAAAATCGTCATAACTTCAAACGGTCGTAAGTTCTTCGTTCCAACTCCGTTTTCGACGTTCTTTATATCCACAAAAAGGTATTGAGGAGCTCTACAACCTTATCTAAATATCTTGGACTAAAAATTTATCGAACAAAAATCCATATTTCATGTAAGAACCCGTCCTATGACTTTTCATTTCTACCATTCGGCCCAAAACACAATTCAAAGGTTTAGATCTCATAACCATCATTGCCTCCTTCCAAAAGGTCTAAACATTACCTCCTTAAGGCCCACAGTCTGAAATAAGAAATGACGGGAAACAAGATGTTGCATAAGTACCAAGTACTTGAGTGTTATATGAAAAATATGAGTTTTATCTAGTAGATACATGAAGTATTAGTCTCTTCCAGACTTTCTTTTCATATAAGAGGAGCAGTTCCTCTTCTAGTGTCCAGTTTCTCCACAAAAGAAACAAGATCCATCTATGTGAGTCTTCTTGGATTTATTGGGCTTAAAAATGTTCGGTTCATAAAACATGGACTACTTTGATCACACAAAGTAACTCTTTTCAGTCTTGCATTATTCCATTGTTTGAATAAGTTTAAAACAAATATCATTGTATTTATTGGAATATTGCTTAACCTCTTATAGGCCTGTCGAAAATACCCGTTACCCGAATTACCCGCCCGATTTTTTCGGGTATCGGGTAATCGGGTCGGGTTAATCGGGTATCAGGTTATTTGGGTAACCCGATTTTTTTCAGGTCGGGTAAAGGGTAAGGTTGTTGGGTTCGATTACCCGAAATTTCTTTAACAATAACGGGCCCAATATCCCTTTATGAGTTTATCCGTCCCCATTAGTCCCAAATCTCAATTCCCCTCGTTTTATTTTCTCTACGTCAAAAGAAAACCCTCGTTCGCAGGTCCGCTTGTCATCGTTCGTCACCGGTCAATCAGCTTCAGCTAGTCGTCGCGGCCTCCTCGCCGGTCATCAGCTGGTCGCCGGGTCATCGGGTATTCAGGTGCACTTCCGATATAGTAATCGGCTTTAGCTAATTGCCCCCTGTTATGATTTCATAATGAATTCAGATTTTCATATATTAACATCGGATAATTGCTATGTCTACAATACACGTTTTGCAAATTTCCATATATTAACATTGGATAATTGCTATTGTTTTTGTCAATTTGGATGATATTAAAGTGCCAGATGACGATTACTCATTGGAATCTTTTTGATATATTAACCTGGGCATGAATTAGAAAACCAACATATTGATACATAGTAAAAGTTATTACCCCAACAATGAAACAACAGTAACCATAATCCTACAACTTTAAAATACGGCTTTTATCACTACAAAGCCACTACCAGCATCACAAATCACTTGCTTTTTATACTAAAAAAGTCTACTTCATGAATCATCATCATTGGTGTATATATGCTATTTGTTATTCTAGATTTATCTAATGGTCAAGTATACTTAACTGTCCAGGTTTTTATTCATGCGGTGTAAATATGCTATTTGTTTTGCTCATCTTGGCATGAGTTTCTATTAAAATTCTCATTTGACTATTTGAGTTAAAGTTTGTTACTATTGTTATTTACTGTTTGCTGCCAAAAGTTGCTAAACAAGTCTCATCTTTGCTAAAGTTTTGGTATGATGCACCTCTATCTCAAGTCATGATTTGTCCAAAGTTCCTAAACAAGTCTCGACTTCCAAAATGTTTTTTGACTTTATTGTTAATTAGTGTTTTAGCTCATTATTATATATATATATTAAAAATGTGAAGAAAAGGAACGGTAAATCTACCATGATTTTTGTCTATTTTGGTCCCTTAAATTACATTCCAGATCCCTGTATTTTTGTTTGTATTGCAATCGTTTAATTTAATGAGTCCCTTATTTATTTAGATATGTTAAAAAAACGTCCATTCTATGCTTTGGGTATTTTTTGTCGTTTTTGTTATTGTTTATATTTTTGCTTTATACGTGTTGTCTTAATGTGTTTCCTCTGATTCCACCGCCTTTGTTCTCCAATCGGATGCTTACACAGTTGTTTCCACCGCCTTCTCTCGGTCGAATATCATAACAATTTGTGGGCAAACTCCATTATCTCCCCCAGAAGAAGATTTACATCTCTCGCCTGATCATATACCCGGTTCACCAACGGCTACACCACGGAAGGGGATAATAACGATGAATGAGGTGGGATATCTTGGCGACGGAGCTCTGGTGGCGGAACAGGAGGTGGAAGCGATGGCGAAATATGAAGTGGATGACAGATCAATTGGGAGAGAGACGAATACCAATCCACCAGGGTCGACCACAACCTTTGCTGCTACCGCCTCAAGCTGATATCGGTCTTCTCGACCGAACGGCCCGTCAAACACCCACAAAAACATCAATCGCTGCCATACACGATCTCTTCCACATCTGCTTCAACTTCGTCGCTGGCTCACACTTTTCCGTCTCGGTCAACCTTGGCGTTCTTCCTATTTTTTGTTCAAGGTACGGTTTTCGATTTCTGCTATGGACGAAGTTATTCAATGGAAATTGTAATTTATTACCGACTTGATTCTTCCAATTGATGATGCAGGCCGGAAAAGGTCAACGGCACCGGTGTTGTGATTTGCAAAGCTTCTGAGAGGTGGGTATTTTAACGACGAAGGAATTGCTGTTGCCGGCGATGAGGTCGACAACATCGTAGATTTTCTGTGCTCCTCCTCGGTTGTTTCTCTTTCTTTTTCTCTTATAACCATGAAATCAGGTTTAACTAAGTTTTCCTAATTTTTTTTAGGATTGCTTCAATCGATATAGAATAGGTCACAACAGGTGGAGAACAAATACGGGCTATAGAGATCCAAACCTAAATCGGGGAAGACGCTGCATCGACAGAGATGGTGAAACTTTTATCGGCCAAATATTTTCAGGTATGATCGATTTATTATTTACTCTTCACATTGATTTGTTGTTTTCTTTCCCTTTCTTGCTTTTCAGACTTGCTTCTTAATATCCTATTTTAAGGTATGTTTTCACTTACTAACAATATTTTCTTCATAAAAAATGGATGATCTGAGGATTATTCTTTTAATTTGGAACTGGAGATAGGTAAATTCAATATATAAAGAAATGTGCCCTGTAGCACATCAACAAACTTCAAATTTGTTTCATAATACTAAGGATATGGATAAAGAAACAATAATTATTGCATTGCACATAAGATAATGTTAATCATCCCCTGAAGGACCGTGAATTTGTTACATAATACTAAGCATATGGATAAACATACCTAATAATTGTTTTAATAGTAATCAGAATAATCAATGTACAATAATTATTACTCAAATACGCTTGGGATTATTACTCTTAACAGTTATTAAAGCTTCACAACATCATGATATACCCTCTACACTAATGTTGTCGCTGTTACTATCATTGCTCTTTAGGGGTCAAGGATTCTAATTAGATTATATGTCGACATGCATGTGCATACCTATAAACTTCTTTTGGATTCTACCTGGGAAACATTAATCATCCTGATAAATCACATGAAATTATTGTATTATTCAGGTCCTTTTTCTCTGATGATCACAAAAGACCTGTTTGTGTTTTTTGAGCATCTGATACTATGATGAATGCAACTAGGAGTAGTTAAGAGCATAATACATACATTGTCACCTAAAATTGGTTGATGCATTTTTCTTTCATATTATATACATATGTTTGAGAATTAATATCTCATTTATTTTGTGACAGCAACAGGTAGATCAGCAATGGGTACAGGAAAATATGAGTTTCAGTTAAGTTGTTGCCTTCTTCCGGAGGGCAAATCGGTAAATTATCACCACCTTATTCTTTTTATCTAAATTCAGAAATGTTTAGGTTAGAGTTTGGAAATGGTATGTTTAGTGGTATAGAGCTCAAGAAAATCATGACTAATGAACAGCTGCACTACAGTCTCCACCGTTGATCCCACCTGAATCGACTGTAACTGTAGCGGTTCCTTTTTGCACTTGGTTGCCCTTCCATTTCAGGTATATCTCTTTCTTCTCCCTTCTTAAAATTCTCCCTTTTAGGGGTTTGCCCACCAACTGTTTGCATATATGTTTATAGTTATCATCAGAAAAGCAGCAAAGTCTACTACCTGTCGATACTGTACTGTACTGATGTTAATTTTTCTTTTTGCACTTGGCTAATTAAACTGCATATACTGTACTGATGCTATCAGTCAATTCAACTGATTTTATACAACTGATTATATCAGCCAATTCAAATACAATGCAATTTTTTTTTTAATAAAATCGACTGATTTTATCAATAAAAAATAACTTTTTTATCATTAATAGTTTTTGACTGGACTGTTAATTTTGTTGAAAGATCAATTTGTCCCTGTACCTAAATATGCCACAATACAGTAAAATGGGACAGTGTATATAGTTTTTTTTTGTTCAAATTAATTTGCCCCTGTACCTAAATATGCCACAGTACAGTAAAATGGGACAGTGTATATAGTTTTTTTTGTTCAAATTAATTTGCCCCTGTACCCAAATATGCCACAGTACAGTAAAATGGGACAATGTATGCATTTTTTTTGTTCAAAGTAATTGCAATTTTTTAAAAAGTTGACTGATATTGGCAGTAAAAAAAATGCGTGGAATGAATCTTACAAGTGGAGAATTCAGTTTCGTATGAATTTTTTACGTTGGAGAAATTGATAGCTGCATGGTATGTCGGTCTTAGTCTTAGATAATGATGTGATATAACTTCATTGTGGAAAGTTGAACTGGATGGGAAGATGGATGGGGCTGTTGAGACCTGCTGTATAATCTCTTTCAATTTAGCAATGTACATTTTTTTTATAGCATACTACAACACTTTGATATCTTTTCTTATTAACACATTGTCCTATGAAAATTCTATCCAATTATTGGATTGTATTTTCAAAATTTTCTTATTATAACATTTACACTGTTTATAAATGGGCAAATCTCATACAATAGCAACGTATTTTATTGTGGCTAACAACTTAGGCAATGTACTTTATTATGACACAAAAGCAACACCTTCCGCCCCCCGCAATGCGGGGGGAAACTTTCTAGTTGGTGATTATAGATGCACTTTTCTGTCTATATCTACCTATGTTTTAGTTTGGTGTTGTTATTCTTATTGTGATCTTTTGTACTTTGTAAGTTCTCCATTGGTTATTTTATTTGTATAATATTTCATCGACGTTAAAAAAGACAAATTGCCAAATAGGAACCGGTAAGTTGAAACGAAAGTTTGTTTCATGTTTTGTCCTCATTTTCTTGAGTATTATTTGTTTAATTCGTTGCTTGAAAGTTGAAACGAACACTTATTTCAGACTTTTAATTAATTAGTGATGGTCATGCCGTGTTATTTTATAAATGTTTGTTCTATAATTGATAGTTTGTCATGTTATTATCACATAGACACAATCTCGGAACACTAGCTAGTTTGTCATGAACCTTTTCAATGGATATTTACCTTGAAATTAAAAGTTTTTTCTGTTTTTTTTTTCTTTTTTTCTTGTGTTTTATCATTTTTTTTTTCTGTTTTTTTCCTGATTTTTATGTTTTGTAACAGTTTTTCTGTTTTTCTGTTTTTTTTTCTTTCTATTTGTTATTTTTTTCCTGATTTTTATGTTTTTTTTAAAGATGTCAAAAACGGACGACTATATTGAAGTGGAATATGAGACGATTGAAGTTGAAAACTCAATCAATTATCAAGTTTCACAAGAAAAACAGAAAAAAAAAAACTAAAGAATTCAACCCAAAATCGAAAGTTTGGAAAGAATTTGATAGGTATAAGGACGAAAATGGTGTTCAAAGATGCAAATGTAAGCATTGTGGTGGCGGGAATTACAAGTGCGAATTATGGGACCAAAAATCTAGGTGATCATTTAACTAAATATAAAAAGCTTACTTGGCTAAACATAGTGGTGGGCAAAAACAACTAGCTTTCCAATATGGTGATGAAAACAAATTGTCATTTTGGAAATTTGATCAAAATGAGAGTCATAAGGCTCTAGCCCACTTGTTGGTAGTTGACGAACTTCCTTTTAGATTTGTAGAAGGTGTGGGCTTTATGTATTACAATAGTGTAATTCAACCATTGTTTAAAGTTCCATGTAGTAGTACAAGCACAACGGATGTCTACCAATTGTTTGTAGACGAAAAAGAAAAAATTTGTGACTTTATTAAAAACAACGTTGGTAGAATATGTTTGACCACCAATACGTGGACTTCTAAACAACAATTATGTTATATGTGTCTCACCACCCACTTTATTGATAACGAATGGAAATTGAAAAAAAAAGTGTTGTGTTTTTCTTCTCAAGAGAGTCACCGTGAGGTTGATATTGGAAAAATGGTTGAGAAATGTTTAATGGAGTGGGAAATAGAAAATGTTTTCACAATTTCCGTTGACAATGCAAGTGCGAATGATGTGGCAATTGACTTCTTGAAAAAAAGTTTTCAAAAATCCAACAAGTGTCTTCTAAATGGGAAATGGATGCACATTCGATGTGTTGTCCACATTTTAAATTTAGTGGTGCAAGATGGCATAAAAAAAGTTGATAAGGCGGTTGAGATAGTTCGATGGGCTGTTAAATGGATTAGGCAATCGCCTTCTAGAATTCATAAGTTTACCAAGTTTGCTAAGGTTGCTAATCCCGATATAACAAAACACTTGAAGAGAGATGTGCCAACAAGATGGAACTCTACTTACCATATGTTGGAAATTGGCCAAGCTTACGAAAAAACTTTTGAGAGATATGATCTTGAGGAATTTGATTTTCGGTACGAAATTGAAAATGCGGGTTTGTCGATACCTTCATCAAGCGATTGGGGAAGGGTTAGGAATGTATGTCATTTTTTAAAACCTTTTCATGATGTTACTTTGAGGATTTCAGGGACACTTTATGTGACATCAAACACGTGCATTGAAGATATATATTCCTTTTGTACGCTCTTGGATGATGCTATTTCCGATTCTAGTCTTAGCGATATTGCGCTGGCCATGAAAATAAAGTTTGATAAGTATTTTGGCAACATAGAAAAAATGAATTTATTGCTCTACTTTGCTTTGATTCTTGATTCGATGAACAAAGTAAAGTATTTGGTTGTACTACTTGATGATCGTTATGGAGAAAAGGGGGTGGAGGCCAAAAAGAAATATATCATGGATTCTATGTATGAATTATATAATGATTATATTAGAATTCATTCTCCAAATTCTACTTCAAGTATTGCCGAGTCTACCACTTCATCATCGATATTAGGGAAACGCCAAAACCCGGATTTTATGACACCTAACCCCCCATTGAGAAATAAACTAAGAGAAAAGATGAAGACGAACATTGTTGAATCAATTAGGGAGTTAGAAAAGTATTTGCAAGAAAGTGTTGAAGACGACTCAGAAATGTTTAATATTCTAGATTGGTGGAAAGTGAATAGTCCAAGATTCCCGATTCTATCATTGATGACAAGAGATGTGTTCGCCATTCCCGTCTCAACGGTGGCTTCGAAATCCGTTTTAGCACTGGTGGGAGAGTTTTGGATCAGTTTAGGAGTTCTTTGACTCCTAAGATTTTTGAAAGTTTAATTTGTACACAAGATTGGATTCGGGGTAACATAAGTGACACAATCGATTATGAAAAAGATTGGGAAGAAAATCAACAAATTGACAAAGGTAATTGTTTATCGTTTATTATTTTAATGATTGTAAATTTAATATCTTTTCCTTTTAATACTAACATTATTTGACTTTTTTTTATATAGAATTGAGCAAGATGAAGTAGTGAAGGTGCAAGAAGAACGAGTATATTTATGAATGTCTTTTGGAACTTGACATATTATTATTTTCATAATATGTAATGGTTTTCTATATTTTCTAGATTTAAGACGTGAGTTTTTTTGGTAAATGCAAAATAAATGCATATACATTGTTATCAAGTAATTGAAATGGTTGACTTTGGTTGTTATTATTTCATCAAAATGCATTCGTGTATACTTTTCTTTATCTTTCGATTTTGGCTTTTTTTTAGTGTTTTAATTTACAAATCTTCCATCTAAAACAATGAGTAATAAATCTAGTCTATATATTAAGCTCTTTTTTTATTCTATCATGCAATTCAACTTTTAAACTAAGATCTTTAAGTATTTGTTTTTTTAATATCCTATTAGATTAGATTAAATTGTTAAACGATTACTTGATATCTTGAGTATTATAGACTAAAAAATCTCAATGTTCAAAGTTTGAGCACGACATATTTATTTCATTAAATTTATTTTTAGGTGCCATTAAAAAAAATCGGGTAACACCTGAATTACCCGAATTTAATTTGGGTCGGGTAACGGGTATTTTTCTTAACATGAAAACCCGAATTACCCGAAACCCGAAAAATTTACCCGATCAACACCCATATTGTTATATCATCATATATATATATATATATATATATATATATATATATATATATATATATATATATATAAATTATCCAAGACTTTATGGAAGTCAAGAATAACTATTCCTAGTGTTCTTGAGCATCATAGTGATGCATTTACTAGGTATCATGTTCAAATTTATTGTTCGAAGCAAGTTGTTTAGGACTATGACACTTAAGGGTATACAATTTCACATCTCTCATGAGATTGTCTCTTAAGACATGAACACATTCATTGAAGTTGTATCTATTGAATGTTATTGTTTTATTAAACCATTAAAGAAAATGACAGTTCATGGTTATGAGCGTAGATTATATATCTACAAAAATTTTTAAAAAATTTGCTTGGTATTTTCAATATTTAATCTTTAATAATTAGTACTCTTTTAGTTTCCAAAAACATTAACTATCAAAGTCTAGGTGTAACGCCCGATTCCTGGAATGTATTTTAAAAACAATTCATTCATTTCTGCAAAGGGACTCGACGAGTTGGAGGCCCCAAACTCGTCGAGTAGGAATGGGATTTTGGACGCGGGACTTGAAGTTTACTCGAGGAGTTGAGAGACTCAACTCGACGAGTAGAGCTGCCAGAATGAAACCCTAATTTTTAGGGTTTGAACCCTATTTAAGTACCTTAACTCTTCAATGTGGCCTCCCTTATCGTCCCCCTCAGTCCAGCAAACCCTAATTCGTGAGCTTGAGCCCTCTTGAGTGTGTAGGAGTGAAAAGAGAGTGATTATTTGGTAAATTCTTGAAGGAGTTGAAGTTGGAGGTGCTTGGTTGAAGGAAGAAGCTTTGGATCCAGGGGTTTCTCTGTTATGGCAGCCATATTAAGGTATAAAGTGTATACCTTGACATTCAGTTGCTACATCTCTTCATAGAGGAGTTTAGGGCTTTTAGTAGCTTGTTTTGGAACCATTCATGGATGAAAACATGTATTGGAGTCATGACTTCGGATCTAGAGACTTTGAGGGACTCCATGGCATAAAGGTACCAACTTTATGGCCATGGGAGTCCCATGCAACTTGTGAACCACCTTTTTGGGCCTTTTGAGCTAAATAACTCATGCAAGGACGTAAATTTAGTAACTTTACGTGATATATCGACTCTAGGGGACCAGATCTATAGATTGGATGCACTGAGCCCAACAGAAAGTGACTTAATGGATATAGGCTATGGGGGACTCGACGAGTTGTTCATACAACTCGGCGGGTTAGGTCGTGGTTCCCCAACCTTTTCTGTTACTGAGTAAACTTGTTAAGTCTAGGAGATGACTCAGCGAGTTGGTCATGGTTTTGAGTTATGAAGATCGAGGAACTCGACGAGTTCAAAGAAGGACTCAACGAGTTGTGAGTGAAATGTCCGGACTCTGGTTGAAGGGGAACTCGACGAGTTCATGAAAGAACTCGACGAGTAGAATCGAGATTTCCAGAGTTTCATGGATCAAGAACTCAACGAGTTGATGGACCAACTCGGCGAGTTGAGTCAACCAGGATGTTGACTTTGACCAGAATGTTG